CAAAAATATTTTGAAGAACCCAAGAGAAAGGATCTGGGTTTGTGCACAATGCATTTCCCATCCTTTGATTACATCTCATTTACTCTGAATGACTAATTTATTAATTAGTACCTTTGCTTTCATTATGTATTCATTTGTATTTATTTATTTGTTTTATTGCACTTATATCCCACAGTCTCATCTTGCAAAACTGTTTCTCCCATCCCACCTATGCTGCCGATGTTACTCTGTATGGTCCTACAAGACTTCTTTTTAATCATTATAAAGGAGTCTTGCAGCAACTCAAAGGCCAACAGATTTATTTGGACACAGGCTTTCATGGACTAAAGCCCCTTTGTCAAACGGATGAAGCAGTATTCTCAACTGACAGATACACATCAGTACATTGTGGGGGGAAAATATTAACACTGAGAGCCAAAACATTGTTAAACATAAGAGGTCTGTGCCAAGTTAATATATTTAATAGCATCCCAACAGCAACAGTGGTTGATAGCACAAACTCCCTGCCTTCGCTAAGCAATTAATACCTGATATGTGGAGAGAAACTTTGGCTCAGTTCAAACAAATACAATCAAGCTGATAATTCTATTTGGGCAATTTCATACTAAACGGAGTCTCCCTTTTTTCCACTGAAGACTGCAGAGTTCAGATTAGCAGTAAAGGGTCCTGAGAGACTGATGTTGCTCTCCAAGGTAGCTGACTATTACCATTTTGGACACTTTATTCTTTTGAGTTAATTTTTGCTATGTATACAATCAAAGGGTGTTACTGGTTGTTCATTGGACAAGTAGGTAAAGGAACCCCCTCAGGTTCTGATGTTATTAATATGTCCTGTGTTGCTTGAGTGGTACTGGATCCAGCATTATTCAGCAGTTAACATAGCTACAAAAAACACTTTATTTCAACTTGGTTTAGCCCGGAAGATGGACCCCTACCATGACTTGGCCTATTTGGCCACCTGGACCCATGCCACCGCAACATCAGGACTCTATATGGGTCTGCCCTTGAAGTCAACTCAGAGACTCCACCTAATACAAAATCCCACAGCTCAGGTATTACCAGGTGCTAGGAAAAGATGGCAAGAATACACAGAAGAACTATACAAGAAAGACCTCGATGTCCTTGACAACCACGACGGTATAATCACTGACCTCGAGCCAGACATCCTGGAATGTGAAGTTAAATGGGCCTTAGAAAGCATTACTAAAAACAAAGCTAATGGAGGTGATGGTATTCCAGCTGAGCTATTCAAAGTCTTAAAAGATGATGCTGTTAAAGTGCTGCAATCAATTTGCCAGCAAATTTGGAAAACGCAACAGTGGCCACAGGATTGGAAAAGGTCAGTATACATTCCAATCCCAAAGAAGGGCAATGCCAAGGAATGTTCAAACTATCGCACAATTGCACTCATATCACACGCTAGCAAGGTCATGCTCAAGATCCTACAAGCTAGGCTTCAACAGTACGTGGATAGAGAACTACCAGAAGTACAAGCTGGGTTTCGAAGAGGTAGAGGAACGAGAGATCAAATTGCCAACATTCGCTGGATTATGGAGAAAGCAAGAGAGTACCAGAAAAATATCTACTTCTGCTTCATTGACTATGCTAAAGCTTTTGACTGTGTGGATCACAACAAACTATGGCAGGTCCTTAAAGAGATGGGAGTACCAGACCACCTCACATGTCTCTTGAGAAACCGGTATAAGGGCCAAGAAGCGACGGTTAGAACCGGATATGGAACAACTGATTGGTTCAGCATAGGAAAAGGACTACGACAAGGATGTATATTGTCACCTTGCTTATTTAATATATATGCAGAGTACATCATGCGAAATGCTGGCCTGGATGAATCACAAGCGGGAATTAAGATTGCTGGGGAAAAGATCAACAACCTCAGATATGCAGACGATACCACTCTAATGGCAGAAAGTGAAGAGGACCTAAAGAGCCTCTTGCTCAGGGTAAAAGAGGAGAGCGCAAAAGTGGGCTTGAAGCTCAACATCAAAAAAACTAAGATCATGGCATCCGGCCCCATCACTCCTTGGCAAATAGAAGGGGAAGTCGTGGAAGTAGTGACAGACTTCACGTTCCTGGGATCCCAGATCACCGCAGACTGTGACAGCAGCCATGAAATTAAAAGATGCCTGCTCCTTGGGAGGAAAGCGATGGCGAACCTAAACAGCATGATAAAAAGTAGAGACATCACCCTGCCAACAAAAGTCCGCATGGTCAAAGCAATGGTATTCCCAGTAGTCATGTATGGCTGTGAGAGTTGGACTATAAGGAAGGCCGAGCGCCGAAGAATAGATTCTTTTGAACTATGGTGCTGGAGGAGACTCTTGAGAGTCCCTTGGACTGCAAGAAGAACAAATCAGTCAATCCTCAAAGAAATCAACCCTGACTGTTCCCTGGAAGGCCAGATAATGAAACTGAAGCTCAAATACTTTGGCCACCAAATGAGAAGGGAGCACTCACTGGAGAAGACCCTGATGCTGGGAAAGATTGAAGGTCAAAGAAGACGGGGACGGCAAAGGATGAAATGGTTAGACAGTGTCATCGATGCAACGAACATGAAATTGAGCCAACTTCAGAGGACGGCGGAAGACAGGAGGGCCTGGCGAGAGCTGGTCCATGGGGTCGCGAAGTCGGATTTGACTGTGCGACTGAACAACAACAAAAAGGCAGAGCATGCATATGATGCCTATTCTGCAGTCACTCCATTGGTCACCAATCAGTTATTGGATTCAAAGTGCTGGCTATAACATACAAAGCCCTTCATGGCCTTTGCTGCTCATATCTGTAAGACTGCCCTCTTCTCCTACACACCGCCATAAGAACTTAAGAGGAGCCAATGTTGGATCAGGCCAATGGCCCATGTAGTCCAACACCCTGTCACAAAGTGGCCATCAGGAGGTGCAGTAGTGGGGCCAGGACCCTAGAAGCTCTCCCACTGTTGACCCCTGCAAGCACCAAGAATAGAGAGGATCACTTGCCCCAGAGTTCCTATCTATACCTTGTGGCTAATAGCCACTGATGGATCTCTGCTCCATTTGCTTATCTAATTCCTCTTGAAGCTGTCCATGCTTATAGCCGCCACCACCTCCTGTGGCAGTGAATTCCATGTATTAATCACTCTTTGGGTGAAGAAGTACTTCCTGTTATCTGTTCTAACCCAACTGCTCAGCAATTTCATTGAGTGCCCTCGAGTTCTTGCACTGTGAGAAAGGGAGAAAAGTACCTCTTTCTCTATCCCATGCATAATCTTACAAACCTCAATCATGTCACCCCTCAGCCACAATAGCTTCACGCATCTGAGCAGAGTCTTCTGCAGGTGCCACCCTCCAAATGGGCAAGATCAACAACTGCCCATACACATGCATTCTCTATTGTAGGCCCTACCTTGTGGAATGGCCTCCCTGTGGAGATCAGGAAAGCTCCCACATTTCTGTCATTCTGCAAACTATGTAAAAAAAATGTTCAGGAGAGCATTTTTATAAAGGAAATAGGGCTTTATTATAACAGAATGGTTCAAGAGGGTGCTTTAATAAAGGAAACAGAACTAGTCTATACCACTGTATATGCTATACATTATCTATTTGTTGTATGTATTAATCTGCTGTTACCGCAGGCTAGATCTCTTGATATAATTCGCCCCATGCATTTGATCAAATGAGCTCTAGTATACAAAAACTCCTGCTACATTAGAGTTGCCAACTCTGGCATGGGAAATTCCTGGAGGTCTGGGGGTAGTCCTAGCCACAATAAATCTGTTGGTGTTTTTTTAAACGCCACAGCTTGACTCCTGTTTGCTCCACCTACAACAGACTAAAATAAAAACCTGTTTTTCCAAAACAAATTACTCTGGTAATAAACGTCCTGAGGGGAACATAGTACCTCCGAGCACATGCAGAGATCTTCGCGCAAGAAGACAATGCACTCCCAAATTAGCGCTCCCACCCCTCCATATTATCAGCAATCTCTTGATTGGGCTTGACCCTTGCTTTGTTCCACCATCAGCCACGCCCCTAGTCGACCAAACTCCTCCTACTCATTCTCAGCTCCCGCCCCCTTTGGCCCTACGTGCCGTCGATCAAGTTCTACCTCGACCCCACCTACAGGTGGAGGCGTGTCACTCACTCCCATCCTTGTCCCGCCCCCGCAAGCATGACGCCACGCGTGCTGGGTGAGGCGGTGATGAAGCGGCGTGCATTCTCAAGCGCGTTCCCGAGCAGGAAGAGCAGGGATACCAGCGACGAGAACGGGAACGGCTGCCCCTTTTCGTGCTCGTGCCCGTCGCCGTCTTCGTGTCGTAGCTGGAATAACACCACGAACACTTCTAAGACGAGCGCGCCCCCCAGCACCGCCCCCGCGCACAGGGGCACCGCGTTCCGGTCCCAACCGTTGCCAGCCATAGCGGCGCATGCGCAAGTTGCGCGCGTTCAAATTCTATCTTCCTCCTCCTGTTGTCGTTTTTTTTTTGTCCTCAGCGCGCTTTGTCTGTTTTCAATAATACCACGTCCGCCAATCAGCGCCTCTTGGCTCCATTTTCTACATTTGATTGATGGAGCTCCTTGCCAATCCCTTAAGAGCAGTGTGTTGCTGATTTCCCTTCTTCAGTGTTTTGGGTAGTTTACCTCAGAAAAGGTAGGTGGTTAGTCTGAGTGGGTGGATAGTTTAGTTAAGTGCTGATTTTTACTGGTTAATTTATTTATATCTAGAAACTTCAGAACTAGCTTCGTACAATACCTTACACAAATAAGTACTTCAGTGTCCTCAAATCACCAATCGGGTTGAGGAAAATACTTCTAGAATAATAGTTTAGCTTTATTTAAAAAACAACAAAGCAGAGGTTACTCAGTAAAAAAAAATCATAAAGTTGGATTCCTTTTCCTAGCTATTGAGCAGCATCATTCTGAGTGAGGGTCTGAAGGGAATAACTATGAAGGGGAAAATACAACCTTTGCCTATATGTAATGTTAGATGCCCCTCAGAATTAACATTTAGACAAGTGGGTGTTTGTGTCTTGATGCTGTATTAGGAAGCTGATTGTGGAGGACTTTTAAAAGTTATTTTGCAAGTAGCCTAGTGGGCTTATCTATGCTTGGTGGCTCCAGTGCATGCGCAAAGTTCTCTTCTCCCTGAGGGTGAAATTTTCCTCAGGAAAAAAAGTCTGGCCAGAAAGATTTCAAACCTTTTCTGAGCAACATTCTGCCATTCCTGAACTGCCCAGGCCAAACCTGGCACTTAAAAACTAATAGCTCTGTTTTGGAAGAAAAGATAATGGCTTGGAGCCTAGTTCATCAGATGCAGGGATAGTTCAGAAGTGGGGCAGGCCCTCCTTGGTGTACAAAGTAGATTCTCTGCTGTTACATGCACAAAAAAGGGTTGCGTTTAGTTGAAGATAGGAAATTAGCTGGATTTGCCTTTTTGACCTGAGTCCCCAAAGTGGTTCACAATATTAATAAAATCCAACATTTCACACCTTTCAGTTAAACCATAACATAAGTGTAACTAGAAGAAGAGATATGAGTGGGGAGAGAGAACAGATTGGAAAACACATTTAAAATACTGAACTCAAGGGGGGGGAAACATCTGAAACAAAATATAGGTTTGAAAATCTCACAAATGAAGAACATGAGCGGAGGGAGAAGCAGAATGGGCAAGTCTGAGCTAAACCATGAGCTGGTATGTGATGGATTCTTTGCCTGCCTCCATCTTTCTTGGCTTGGCCTTTAACCTTCCAGATTCCTTTGCTGTGTTCTCTAAGCTTATTCTTACCTCTTCCAGAGTTCCAGGCTAGGGTGGCTAGAAACCAAAAGAAATCAGTATTTTGAAAAGCAAAGATTATTCAGTTTTTCCCTGGCTGGCTTTTCAGGGATTTTTGAATGAAGTTCCCTTTACAGGGGTCATTTTGTAGAAAAAGAGGTGCAGGAGCTCATTAGCATAACTTATTTGCATATGCCACACACCCTGACATCACCGGAAGTGTGTCAGAAGGCAACACCCACCACTCAGGCTCCACTGGACTGTTTTGGATTGCTAGCTATTGGGAGGGGGGGACGTGCAGATCTGTCCTCACAGAGGAGGGAGAGCTTGTACCTGAACAAAACTTGGTCTTAAAGGTGCCATTGGACTGTCTTGGATTGCTAGCTATGGGTGGAGGGGAATGTGCAGATCTGCCCTCACAGAGGAGGAAGAGCTTGTACCTGAGGCGGGGGGGGGGGGCTCTGCAACTTACCTGGCTGCTTCTTGCTCCTCGTGGCCCAACTGAGGGCTGCTGGGAGCAGGGGGTGGGGCTTGTTGCATGTGCCCACCCCCTGGGCTCCTTACTGCCGGAGCTCTGCTCCTGTGCGCTGCCACAGGAAGTGACCCCTGTCCCTTTAAGACACCTGAACCTGTGAGAGAGTCTCTCTTCTTATTCCTCTAACAAGCCCTTTCCCACTGATCCTAAGAATAGCCTTGGTGTAACAGGAGCAGGCTGCAGGAGAACTACAGATTTTTCATTCGCAGCATGGGTTATACAAATGTTGGCCAAAAAAAAAGACTTAACCTCTTTGGAAGCTGTCCCAAATCTGTGTTAATTATATCCAGGACAGCAGAATAAATGAGTATCTTGCTGTCTTTCTCTGCCACTTATCAAACCAGATCTATCCTCCCTCCTTCTCACCCTAGTTTTGAGTTCAAATCCAATGCTAGAAGTAGGAAGACAGTTCAGTCAAATGTATTTGAACATTATCATGCAAATTAATATTTTATTGATTTATTTACTTCATTTTTACCCTGCCTTTCCCCTAATGAGGACCCAAAGCTGTTTACATCTTTCTCCATTTTATCTTCACAACAACCCTGTGAGGTAGGTTAGGCTGAGAGCATGTGACTGGCCCAAGGTCACCCAGCAAGTTTCCATAGCAGAGCAGGGATTTGAACCTGGGACTCCCACACTGGACATGCTAACCACTACACCACACTAGCTGTATCCCTTCTGGGAGAAGTGGACATCCAGTCACTTTCCAGGATTGAACCAAACTTAATCATTCCAGTTTTTCGTGCACCCAGTAGCAACATGATGGAGAGGATCCCCCTTCAATTAGAAGGGCGATCAATAGTCTTTCAGTGCAATTTCTGAAATTCCAAACATTCAGCTATAATAAGAAAGTTAAATGGAGCCCTTTTTCGATACTTTGATTTACCCCTCGAATATGTGAAGCAATTGTAAAGGAAAAGTGTTTCTGAACATGTGCAGAGTGTTTCTTCTCAGATGCAAATGAGTAATCAAATGAGGCAACCCCCACATCCACCTGGGACTGAAAGAACAGATCCCAGGACTCAGTGATGGTTCATGGTAGTGAAGCTTCAGTCCAGTGTGCTTGTTTAGAAATTAAGTGCTGACTGCATGAATGTAATCTGCTTATTTGACTTTCTATCCAGTTCTATCCTGAGGGTTCAGAGTAGGTAATATTGTAGGTAGTTGAACAGTAAGCAAAAATGAGGGGGATGTCTTACATGAAATCCATTCTTCCCCATTTTTACTATTCAGGTTTTAGAGAGTACTGTAGTTCAACATTTCAAAACTAAAAACTAATCCATAATGTGAGTTGGGGGGGACGGACTTGTTCTGTGATGATTCAGTGTGTGTTTTGAAGACTGAAAATTGCTGAAGGCCACGGGAAGACTACTGATCTAGGAATTCTTGGTCTTGCTAGCTTCCAAACATGAATCCCTTCCCCCGTATTCTTACAGTTGAAAGCATCTAATTTTTTCGTTGCACCTTACAGGTAGGTTTACCTCAGTTATTTAATAGGGTCTTTTCCCCTGCACATCTGATGCACTCGGCTCAGATATGAACCACCGCCACGCTACAGGGAGACTACTGTTCACAACGGCAGCCTTTGCTCTGTATTCAGCATGGATTGTGTCAGACACAGCATTTACATATCTCAAAGGGACGATTTCCCCTTTAAGAGCCTTCTGGGTCTGCTTTAAAGGGGGATCCTTGGCTTGCCAGCAGCTGTCTTCACCCCCGTCTGGTTGGTAGGGACATTTGTACTGTCCCCTCCCCTTGGCCTTTTTAAGATGGAACTTGATCCGCCTTCCCAGGGCTGATAATACTTATTGAGGACTGGTCACGTGGGCTGGTTTTGACAGGTGCAGCTGCAAAGCAGGCAGGCACAGCCTGGGAGGATTGGGGGACCTTGACCTCCAAGAGGAGCTGAAGGGAGTGAACAGAAGAGAAGGGGGCTAAGTCTAAGGAAGAGCACAGGGAACTGTGGATAGTGGGAAGCAAGATAGGCAAGGGGGTGTTCAAGACAGAAGGGACATGACGACGCAGATAGAAACGCACATCCAGTACAACCACTCATACATGTCAACTGAGGACTACATGGCCCAGGAGGAGGACTGGGATCGTGACCTGCTGCTCGACCCCGCCTGGGAGAAGCAACAGCGAAAGGTAAGGGGCAAATGAGTGGTGAACAGTAGAGCCAGGACTGGATTGCCAGTCCCGCTTGTCCTTTTCAGAGTTGGGAGAGTCCTGGAGGCCCACATCACCAACTTTCCAAGTTTACTTCGTGATCTTTAGTTTGGTGTTCAATGCTAAATCACTGGCAATGTTAAATTTGCCTAAATTAGTGTAGAGATAGCTGCAGCAACTTAAACTTTTTTCTCCGTTGCCAATCCAGAAAAGAGGCAAATCCCAAAGTAAGTGTACTTTGATAGGTTAGAACAGGGTCAGCCTAACTGCACAGGCAACCCAATTGAATGAATAAGGTGACAATACTGATTTCTGGGGCAACAGTGAAATGTTCCTGGGAACACCTTTCCTTGGCAAAATGGCTTGGATTGGCCCTGGGTGAAAGTTTGGAAAACAGGATGAATGTTTCGCAAACCACTGTTTGTTATATAGAACTGGAAGCATAACCTGGCCCCTGGGATTCTAGTAAAGAAGGATTTCTATGAATTTTCAAGAATGGCTTCTGTGATGATGGCCTGCAAAGGAATTTGCTGCTAGGATCTGAGGATGCATCTGTTCTCTCTGAAGTCCATTTCATCCAAAATTATGTTTTCTTTAATGCTAGCAGCTCATTTCTGCAAAGTGCCCTCCTCCTGGATCTGGAGGACAGACTTTTTACTTACAGGCAGAATGCACTGCAAGGCTTGTAGCTAGCAAGATGAGGGACGCCCTGTAGGAGGCAGCTGCTACCCCCACATATCAGACACTGTCTCTGCAGCTGTCCCTCTCCATCAGCCAAATCGACATCCCGTAAGGAACATGGGTGACATTTTGGGTTGGAGTACGTCAGGAGGGACTCACACTCAGGATATTTGCTGGGGGTGGGGGAAGGAGGTACAAAGAAGAGGAGGGGAGAGCATATGTCACTGGAGTGGAATCCATCAAGGGCCAAAGCTGTGTCTGAGC